TCAGAATAAAGAAAGAAACGTAAAAAGAAATAAAGACCAAAAAATAAACAAAGAAAAACAAAAAACAAGTGAAAATCAAGAAAGAAACTAAGAAAATCAATGAATAAGCAAAGAAAACATGGGACAAACATGTATAAAACAAAGAATAAAGAAAGAAAAACAAGTAAAAAAGAAACAAAAATACCCGGATAAAACTAGACTAAACAATTCAGCAACCAACCCACCAAGCGAGGCTAGCAAACCAGCGAACTCGAACAAAGAAACCCAGCGAAAAAAAATAACAGGTGAAAATGGGCCGGCCTAGTAGCTACATTGCGGGGGCAAAACATTCAGTTTGCGTCTCCTATTTGACACGTAGGTCGTTCGTTCGCGACCTAGCACGTACCCCTTCCAGTGTCTGATTTTCTTTTGGGCCATCCCATTTCGGGCTCCTTCTCCATCAGTTTTGGGAAGGCTGTAGAATCTTACCTCAACCCAATTTTTCCTCAGTTTTATTGGTTTTATTTTCTTTTTAATTTTCATTTTTTCATTTTTACGTTATTTTTTATTTTATTTTTATTTTTTTCATTTTTCCTTTTCTTTTTCTCTTTTCTGACCATTTCTCAACTTTGTGAACATATTTTCTCAAATCGCGAACAATTTTCTAAAATCTTGAATATTTTTTTACTCATCAACATTTTTATAAAAATGTGAAAGTTTTTCAAATTTGTGAACATTTTTCACAGTCATGATTTTTTTAAATGAAAAACATTTCTTGAAACTGGGAACACTTTTTTTTATCCCTGAACCATTTTCTTGGATCAGTGAACATTTTTCCAATAGACGCACATTTTTCCGAAATGGGGAGAACAATTATTGTAATTCAAGAACATATTTTTGTTTTGACGAACATTTTAGAAATTTATGGATATTTATTGTATCCGGGAATATTTTTTTAAATTTCATGAACATTTTTAAAAATTCATAACAATTTTTGATTCACAATTTGTTTTTTCAATTTCATAACATTTTTTGAAGATGTCAACATTTTTTGGAAAATCAGGAATATTTTTTGATGTCTTGAACATTTTTTTATTGCATTTTTTAAGAAAATTCAAAACACTTTGATATCCCAAATTAACTGAAATAGAGAAAATCAAAAAATAAAAATAAAATAAGAAATTAAAAACCAAGCGCGGTGCACATGGGCCGGCCCAAAACGGCATGCTGGGGAGTGACCAATGCTAAAAATTTGAAAGTTCAATCTTTTTTATAATATAAAAAAATTTAAAATATGAAAATTTCTGAAAAATCAATTTAAGAAACTTATGAACAATTTTGGAAAAATCATTTTTTTTAATCGGTCATTTTTGAAAATTGAAATAAAATTTGATGTATTTTGTAGAAAATCTAGATATTTTTTGAACTTTGAACAAAATTTTAAAATCTTGACCATTTTTGGTATTTGGAACATTTTCTAAAAATTAAATTATTTTAGAAATTCTAAACATTTTTTGTAACACATTGTGGCTCGGTTCGCTCAATCATGCTGGCCAGGGTATTTGGGCTGATCCCATGTATATTGAGACGGCCCCATGCTTGTACCAAACACCCAAAAATGGCTCGAGAAGGGCACTTTTGAGCCCATGCACCCTCCATGCACTCTACCAAATATATTAGAAGGGAGAGAGGTGGTTAGTGGAATAATTGATTGCATTGCTTGACACGCACCGGGCATGCGTAGACGGACGAATACGAAGTTGACGAAGAGACACTCCAAGCTTGCCAGGCTCGGGAACACATCATGGATGGAGGCACGCACCGGTGTTGCCAGTACCGGGCATGCATAGACGAGGGACCTGCACGAGCTGTACGCCATGTAGGAGAAGTCGGAGAGGCCAGTAGAGAAGAACTCGACGAGGACTGCGGCGTCCATCGGCGCGAGGCTGATGTCACCAAGGGTGGTCGGAGTAGACGAAGTGGTCGGGATAGATGACGGCGACGCTGGCAACGGGCTGGTGCTTGGACGAAGACGAAGGGGGTGGATGGTCGATTGCGGCGGCTACATGAGTAGCGGCAATGGCGGCCAAAGAAGAGCGGCGGCGGCTAGGTTAGGAGTGAGGCGTATATGCTCGAAATAGGCAAGGAACCCGACAACGTGAGGAAGACCGGCGCAGACAATGGCATTCCCGTGCCAAGGGAGCCGGCGCGGCGCATAACATGAGAGGTCAACGCGCGGGAACGGTGGTGGACCGCGGGCCGCGGCGCTACGACCCGAAAGGGCGACGCAACGGCGGCAGCAGGTGGGACGGGGAGACGGCGGGAAGACCGGCAAAGGGGACCACGGGCCGCGATGCTACAGCCCGAAGGGGCAGCGCAGCGACGGAGTGCGGGTCGGTGCAACCACGGGACGGTCTTGGGGCGGCGGCAGGGACCACATATCGTGGCACTATGGCCCGAAGGGGCGACGCGTGAGTCGACGAGCCGTGAGGAGAACCACGGGGCGGCGGCGCTGCAGCCTGACGGCGCGGCGCAGCGACAGCCCGTTGCTCGATCGATGGAGGGGCGCGCTGAACTCGGGGACGATCTTCACGGGACTTGCAGAGGCGCGCGCAACCAATGGGTCAGGTCGGTCGCGTGGTGTAGATGAGGCGGATGCGGTGGCGAGCGGGTGATCAAGCCAATCGCACGCGAGGTTGGGGACGCCGCTCGATGGAGGCAGGGTGGCGACGGAGTCCAAGATGAGGCCGACGATGACAGACAGCATGGGACGTCGTGCGGACGAGCGCGTCAACACCGGCACCCGGGCTGCCAAAGCAGGGCCGGTACCCGGGCAGCGAGGCCTGAGCAACGAACGAAGCAGCGGCGCCCGAGCTCGAGGCAGCCAACGAGCCTGACATAGTCGGCCCGACGTAGTCGGGGATGAGGCCGCTGAAGCACACCGTAGGGCGTCGTGCAGACGCGGCGGAGGAGGGTGGCGATGGACGGCGTGGATCGACGGGCGGGCCGGCGCGAACGGCGGCTGCGATAGGCCACCGCATCGCGCGAGGCTGCCGGGTTGGGTGATGTAGGAGTCCGGTCAAAGCAGGGCGGCGACGGCCAGCGCAGGGCGACGGGCGGGCCGATGCGCGGATGGCGGCTGGCCCTGAAAGGCCGCCTCGGCACGCGTGGCCGTCGGGTCGGAAGAGAGGTCGTCCGGTCGCGCCGGGGTCGGAGTAGAGGTGTGTTGGTGTCCACGGCGGCGACGGGCGATGCAAACCGATCAGGCATAGATCAAAAAACCAAAAAGAAAACGCCAATCAAAACGACCGGTGAGATAGAGAGAAAAACCCGGAGCAAGAGCTCGGGAAAATGACTCTCTAGGGCAGCCGGTCAACATGACCGGCAGACGAACCCTAGTATGGGCGGCGCGGCCCTCGGCGGCGGTCATGAATGCCAACCGCCCAGGAGGCGGCGCGCGGGTGCGGAGCCGGTGGGTGGCGGCTAGAGTTTGGACCGGTTAGGCTGATACCTTGTTAAAAGGGAGAGATGGTTGGTGGAATAGTTTTTTTTAAGAATTGTTGGTGGAATAGTTAATTGTATTGCTTGAGTCTCGTATGCATATATATATTTGAAGTACAAGGTAAGGCAGAATATTTCCTAGTCTAAAGTATGTTTACAATCTAATCAATATACACAATTTTGGGCGGGCCCATGAGCTGCAGCGGGGAGTCCCCCTATTTTATTGTTTCTTTCTTATTTTGTTTTTATTTTTTTATTTTTTTAATAATTCGGTATTTCGAAAACATTCCAAAATTCTAAAAATATGCGAATTTCAAAAATGTTCGTGGAGCCAAAAATGTAGCTGAATGCAAATAATGTTCATGAATTTGAAAAAATGTTCATGAATTTGGATAATGATGAATATTTTCCATCAAATAATAAAATGTGAATTTGATGAACATTTTTTGAACTTTATGAAAAAATTCTCATCAAGAACATTTTCTAAAAAAATCGGATGACTTTTCTGAAAAATAGATGAACATTTTTTGAATTTGATGAACATTTTTTTAAAATGATGGTGAACCAAATTTTGAATAAGATGAATTTTTTTGAATTAGATGAACATTTTTCATTATTTGAACTTGATGAATAAATTCTCAATTCAAGATCACTTTTTTGAAAATCGGATGAACTTTTTTAAAATTGGCTGAACATTTTCAAAAATTATGCATAATTGTTTTTGTTTTTGATGAACATTTTTTGAATTTAGTGAGAAAAAATGTTCAAGATTTTAAAAAATGTTCAAAGAAAGATAAAAAGAAAAACAAAGAATAAAACGGTGATGAAGAAGAAGTTAAAATTAAAAAAGGAAAATAAAAAAGAAATATAAAAAAGGGAGAAAAAACTGGGGGACCTCGTGCCCCCACATGGGCCAGCCGGCGCGCAGGGGTGCGGGGGGGGGGGGCTACGGCGGTGTGGATTATTGATCCAGCTTTGGTACCGGAGGTCGAGACGAAAGGACTCGCGCTAAGATGTATCAATAATCCTGCACGTACAAAGAGGCTACGTAAACCTTCCTTTCCTAATTCTATCCCCCCTCTCCCCTATTCGGGGGTGGGCCTCACCTCTGCCTAACACCAATTAAAATCTATCAACTACCTAATCACGTAACATTACGTTAACTTCTTTTCTAAGTGTAGCATTGCTCAAGCTGGATATAGTCGCCTATAGTGGCCGCGCAATTGAAGGCCAGAAACGCACGATGAACACAAGAAGAGGCTCGTCCTCCTCGTGCGGCTGTCCTGTAATCTCGGCTTGTTTGCGAGCTCAAGGCCCATGCGCAACCCTCATTCTCCGGCTTGTCCCAAATTAGCACGCACTTATAAAATGACGAATCCTCATCTCCAGCTCCTATTTAGTCCAACTTGTAAGAAATAAAGTAGACCCCTTCCATTGGTTGAGGGGCCCAAACCTCGTAAACACCTCCCATTTGATTTTAATTGTATCAATTGATCGGGAGGTGTTGATCGTCGTAAACCATGAGCAAAGGCGCCATAATCGGCGCGTCGACCGTCCTGGTGGTGGCGGTCGTCGCTGCCGTCTGCGTCGTGTCCTCAAGAGAAGCTAAGAATGAGGAGGACAGCACCGAGCTTACGGCGTCGGTGAAGTCGATCAAGTCCTTCTGCCAGCCCGTGGACTACAAGGCGGCGTGCGAGCAGACGCTGGGGGAGACGGCCGGCAATGCGACGACCACGACGGAGCTGGCCAAGGCCATCTTCAAGGCCACCTCGGAGCGGATCGAGAAGGCCGTGGAGGAGTCCAGCCTGCTCAACGAGCTCAAACACGACCCACGCACGTCGGGCGCGCTCAAGAACTGCAAGGAGATGCTCCACTACGCCATCGACGACCTCAGGACCACCTTCGACCAGCTCGGCGGCTTCGAGATGACCAACTTCAAGCACGCCATGGACGACCTCAAGACGTGGCTCACCTCCGCGCTCACGTACCAGGAGACGTGCCTTGACGGCTTCGCCAACACCACGACGGACGCCTCCGCCAAGATGCGCAAGGCGCTTAACGTCTCCCAGGAGCTGACGGAGAACATCCTGTCCATCGTGGACGAGTTCGGGGATACCATCGCCAACCTGGACCTGTCCATCTTCAGCCGGCGGCTGCTCGGGCACGACGGCGCGCCCAGGTGGATGTCGGACTCCAAGCGGAGGCTGCTGGAGGTGTCTCCCAGCGAGCCCGACTTCAAGCCGGACATGACGGTGGCGGCGGACGGCAGCGGCGACTACAAGACCATCACCGAGGCGCTGGCCAAGGTGCCGCTCAAGAGCGAGGACACGTACGTGATGCACGTCAAGGAGGGCACGTACAAGGAGTACGTCTCCGTGGCGCGCAACGTGACGAACCTCGTCATGATCGGCGACGGGGCCGGCAAGACGGTCATCACGGGGGACAAGAACTTCATGATGAACATCACCACCAAGGACACGGCCACCATGGAGGCGATCGGCAACGGCTTCTTCATGCGCGGGATCACCGTGGAGAACACAGCGGGCGCCAAGAACCACCAGGCCGTGGCGCTGAGGGTGCAGAGCGACCAGTCGGTGTTCTACGAGTGCCAGTTCGACGGGTACCAGGACACGCTCTACACGCACACGAGCCGGCAGTACTACCGAGACTGCACCGTGAGCGGCACCATCGACTTCATCTTCGGCAACGCGCAGGTGGTGTTCCAGAACTGCATCCTCCAGGTGCGCAAGTGCATGGAGAACCAGCAGAACATCATCACGGCGCAGGGGCGCAAGGAGAGGCACTCGGCCGGCGGCATCGTCATCCACAACTGCACCATCGAGCCGCACGCGGAGTTCAAAGACCACATGGGCAGGCTCCGGACGTTCCTGGGGCGGCCGTGGAAGGAGCACTCCCGCACCCTCTACATCCAGTCGGAGATCGGCGACCTGATCGACCCGCAGGGGTGGCTGCCGTGGCTCGGCGACTTCGCGCTCAGCACCTGCTACTACGCCGAGGTGGACAACCGGGGGCCGGGGGCCGACATGAGCAACCGCGTCACGTGGAAGGGCGTCAAGCACGTGACCTACCGGCAGGCGGAAGAGAAGTACACCGTGGAGAGGTTCATCCAGGGGAAGCTCTGGATCTCCAAGTACGGCGTGCCCTTCATCCCGGGGTTGCTGCCGCAGGAGCAGGCCGGCCACACTGATGACACTGAGCGAAGCTAGCGTTCGTCCGGGGTCGACGAAGATGGATTGTTAATTTTATGGATGGATGGATGGATGGATCGGTTGTACGTACACTGTTGTTGATGTATATCATCTGTGTATCGTACAGTATATGTGAGATGCATGTCAATGTAGAATGTAGAATGTATGTGCGTGTATACTGCTCTTTCGGACACCCCTGCTCACAATTGGAGAAATTACGACTCGAATAGAAGAGGATTTAAGATAGTTTACGACATGTTGATCATGTAAATCACAAAGCATCTAATCTCTTCCCCCCTGATTTCAGGTGGGGGTGAGGTGGATGCTTTGTGATTTGTGGGTGCCACGTGTCATCCATTAGGATGGGTCTCACCTGCTAATCCGTGAGACCTGGTTTCATAGAATTTTTTTCCATGATGTATCTAGACGTCTTGCAGTGCTAAATTGTATCCAGCTAGCTTCCTGATTTTCTTTTCGAACACCCACTTGTAAATGATCCGACCTTGGACCTGGATCCTCGCCAACAAGGCCATAGATAGATGCACTTGCCAGAAAAAGGTGATGCCAAATTGGAAAATGCCAACACACTGTCGCTTCCTACTTGAAAAGAGCGAACGAAATTATGTTCAGTCGAGCAAACAAGACATTCTCGGTCCACAGACTTCCAATTCCAAATTCCTTTTATTCCCGTGAAAACCCATGAGGAAGATACATAAGCAAGCAACAGCCCCCTTTGATAGTTACAAATACTGAATACACAACTTTTTTTAACTTCTCAAGCCCACACTCTGCTCAGTTCTCTCGCGTCACTACTTATGGTTTGGAGCGGCTTTATTAGATCGGGGAGAAAGCACACAAAAATCAAACCAGGGATAGCATAATCATAACCATGTGTGTTCCCTCTCAACTGATTCAGTTGTAGGCGTCCGGGTTGGCTACGAGGTAGGCCTCGGCGGCCTTGAAGATGGCCGTGACAGACTCCTTGGCCTTGGTGATCTCATCGTTCACCTCCACGCCCGGCAGCAGCTTGTACGTCGACTCCACCTTGACGACGCTCCCACCGTTGGCCGCCGGCTCCACCTTGATGTGCGAGGTGGCTGTCTCGATCGCGGTGCCGATGCCGCCGCCCTCGATGAGGGTGGACTTGCACTCGCACTTGTCGGCGTCGATGAACTCGAGCCTCTCCTTCATGACGCTGAAGGGCATGGCTGCAAGATCAACTGCGTGTTATGCTTTGACCCAGGATGTGTACCAGACTGAAGCTGACATGAATTGTGCGTGACGCGTGGTACCTAAGGTGAAGTTGAACTGCCTGACGCTGCCGATGCCGCCTTCGCCCTCGACGGGGTGGGCGCTGGCGACGATGTGCGGTGCGAGCTTAGGGGCCAGTGTGTGCCAGTCCATGACGCCGGCGCGGAAGAGGCGCGGTGCGGCGACCGGCGATTCGATCTCGTGGGTCCAGCTGTCGGTGGAGGCCATTGCTGTGATGATCAAGGACGACTGGTGCAAATGATGTGTTGAGTTGTGGCTGTTGAAATGGCGCACTGGGCTGCTTGGTTTCCTGGAGAGCGGAAGTGAGCGCTATAAATAGAGGCTCCAAGGCGGGGTTTGGTGAAGCTTGAACGGGGTGTGGTGACTGGTGAGTAGTGGGGGCTGGTGAAAGTACCAAAGCCAGGGTCGAGTTTTTCCAAATTGAATGGCACCGTCGGTCGGCTAAGCTTTTATCATTACAGGGTCTGAAAGCACGCCTTTTTTTCAATATATTTTGTTAACGAAGCAGAACCTGTTGTCCAATTGGCACCACGGTCCGCGTGAGCAAATTGTTCCAGAATGTTTAGTTAAAGAATTAGAATGACGGACTCCTAGTCTCCTAATCAAAAGCAAGATATAGAAACTTGGGGTTGGTGTGGTTGGAACGAAGAAACACTGAAGTAATGCATACAGCACGCCGACGACGCGAGCGACGACCACACACAGCGCGTCCACCGGCGGCGACCATCAGTGACATGCAACCTCGCGTGTTACCTGTAGAACTACGATCTGGCATGCATGTTCTGTGTGAACTCTCTTACTTGTACTAGTACGCGGTGACTTAGGATTCCAGGGGGGCGTTTAACTGCAAATTAATCACTGTTTCGATGTTGCTCCTGCAATTCAGATGCATGGATGCGCAAAGTCTCTCGGATGCATAGATAGGATAAGTTTCCATACAAAAATGCCTTTCAGATATTACCTCCTGCTGTCAAAATTAGTGCAACCTTCCGTCGTTGCGCGGTTTTACAAACTCAACTATGGAAAGCTTGAAAAATACATCTTGACAGTACACAAAGTCGAACAATCTCTCGGAGACATGCCAACAATGCTGCGATTCTACTCGGCATCATCGTCACTATTTTCAGACAAATCCACGTCTTCACCATACACCATTTCATCAATTTCATCTTCTTCCTCTTCATCAGATTGGACTGCGGCCTTCGCCGACACATCTTTCACATCCTTGTCAACCTAAGGAAAGTGAAAAACATAGTAACTTTATCATTGATAACTGTAGCAGTAGGACTAACTATTAACTTATTTTCAGCCTTGTAAATGGATGAAAACCTGTGCCATTATCAGCCGAAGACGACCAGAAAGCTTCAGTAAATCTTCAGTTGCTGTGTATCTTTCTGCACACATCTGCAAAAGAAAGAACAATCAGTTTTGCTTAGATTAGTGGCATGCCAATTCATGGCCAAACATCCAGCAGACAAAGACTGTCTCGTAGTTGGCATATCAACTTTAACCACATTGGTTGGTAGCTTATTCAAATTAATCATGTGATCCAAATAAGGTAAGGCGCTGATGTTGCATTTCTCTCCCAAATAGATTAGGAAGCAAAAACACATGGCAGCAGTATTTACTAGTTTAACTACCATCTCCCAGATTTATCTTTAACTCTATGATCATCTGCTCAATGTGTAGCCGCCGTATAACTTGTCACTGCCAACTACACTACTACAGATACAACTTGAGATCCTAAAAGAAAATCCATCTTGCAAAGATGACATGAAAATTCAAGATCTAAGCTATACAAGTGTGGGGGCAACTATCATCAGCACAATAATGTGTTTCACGTTCCAGACTGTGCTCTTCACACTGACTATAGAAGGTTACAATCGTGAGTTTGCATGTGGGCTTTTTCACTAATAGAGGTTTCCTGTAGGCCAATTTGAATGTGCACAGTGTGTTCAATTGCAGCAGGTGAGTTCTCGCCACCATTGATACATCTTTCTCAAAGAGGTTGCCAGGAAACTATAATAACAGTGACATCACGAACATTCTGAACATGGTGATGTAACTGTATATATACACAGTTACTTAAATTCTGTTATACTTGTGTATGACAAAGCAAAATTCTTATTGAGCTGGAGCTAAACTACCCTGATTGTATATGATGGTCTTAAGTTTGAAATATGTGATCCGCGTTGTGCATTATCTAATACCAAACATATAGGCCAGTCGCTATAGCACAACCCTTCTCCATAACAAGAACACTGGTAGTACTCCATAATACAGTACACATAAGTACTTGAACCTTTGCAACTCATTAAGTGCCAATTTAACCACAATAGTTTGTTATCATCTATTTGGAAACTCAAGAAGTCTAATATCAAGAAAAATGAAACAAAACACATATGATTTTCACATACCTAAACTACAAATCTAGACAATGTCACCGCTCCTATTGGAGGGGGTATGTTTCGAATGATCTACAAAGCTCATGGGAGAAACAAACAGACATATAGATATGCAAGTTATGCAATGCAACAAGCTCCAACTAGTACTGCTAAGTGGCAAGAAGAAATAGTACCTTCTCCAGGTCGCTAATTAGTTTTCTTGATTTCTCCGAGGGGATAAAACGACCATGAATTACTAGTAAGCAGTATATCCAACGCAAAACAAGCTCAGCGCTACCAGATCTGTCGAGAGATACATATCAGCAACCAACACAGAATACACGGTGGTGAAAATGTGCAGTGGTGAAAGACATGGATGCAGAGCACCTTGATCTCCATGCACATACTAAATTCTCTAGAAGCTTGCAAGCATCTCCAGGCTTTAAAGATCTTAGATGTGCTCGAATCTATTGAACAACAGAACACAACATCAAAATTGTACCCCCTCACATCAACGAATTAACTTCGATAGCTACATGTACATAGTAAAGATGCAAACAGTGATAGAACTTTAAACTGAAACTGAGTTACCACAAACCTTCTTGCTGGGTAAATTAGCGTCAATTGTTATGCCACTGCTACTAAACAGATCTGATAAGATTTTAGTGGCCATGTCAGGATGGCCGACGAGACTTTGATCAATGACGCCATATTTCCTCATCAGATCTTCAATGCATATGCTGTCGTTTTTAATTCTTTGCACCGGAACTAAATAAGGAAAATGGTATTTTAGTGATGTGACCAAGCTGTATACTAGAACATTCTGAAAATAATTGATTCATAATAGTAAATATAACAGGCACATCCTGATTCTCCCTACAAAATAGTATAAAACTCGAATATGCTAATAAATAGCAATACATTACTCAAGTTGTCACAGAATTAGTTGCTGCATCGTCCCAAGTGGAGAACAGAACAAGGTTATGCCCCTGCAGTTGATAGCTTGTGTAGACTCCAACTGTTGGTTGTGTTTCATCACTTGCAGAAGAGGAGAAGACATGGCAAGAGATAATTTACCTCTTTTCTCGGTCAACCTTGAAGTGGTACCAAGGTCACTATCAATCGCAAGTTTGACGCCACTCGGTTTTGTTACACCATGTTTCCTTTTTTTTTCTTGTGTATGAAGCTTCGGAAGAGGAAGAATGGCATCTTCTGCATTCGCGCGGTCTAGAGCAGTGATAGTTACTACAAAAAAACAGACAAAGTTCAGCCCAAGATTCGCCATTAGTAACCTTCTCAAATGAAGGCAGTAAAATAAAGCTCCTACCAAAATACCCATTTGTAAACAGGGTTTGAATGGTTGACCCATTCGGATATTCATATAAATAAATAACACATAAGGTGAATGCACCATAACTGATGAACATTAGCATACCTTTTGTTTTAGCAGATTGACCTTTCTGGTGCATGGTGGGTTGAACTGTAGGTAAGAGAACTCCATCTTCAGATACACCCAAATTAACATCCTTACCATAACAAACCAGCAGCTTATCAAAAGATGGTTTCACCACGGATCCATATGCCAGAAGGACATGAGCCGAATTAGGTCCATCTATTCCTTGAAGTTTTGCGGCAAATATCGTGAAATCCTGATTCGTTCTTGAAAGGGAGGACTCGGACAAGGCAATCCTAGTAGGCTTCTTATTGCGCAAGTCATCCATGTTATTCCCAGACCAGAAATAGCAGATACCAACCTCAGATATAGCCAACACATCTATTTCTCCTTCAGTAGCATTAGTACCTGAACACATGCAGTCCACAAAGATTGCTGGGTGTACCATAGAGAGTATACAGCTTGAACTCTGACTTTTACCACTGCCCAACTCCCAAATGGCAACATAGCGTTCCCCAACTCCAGATGACAGAACATATTTGCCATTGTTACTAAAAATCATGTTTCTCACAGACACCTAAATGTTCATGTAGTCAATAGCAACAGGTGTGCACTTAGAAAAAGCAATACAATTGAAAAGATAACAAATTCAGAAGAGGAACACAGTACAGGAGGGCATACAAGACACACTCACCGGATGCCCAGAGAATTTTTGAATTTTTTTGTTGTCAGAAGCGTCAAAGGTCCTCAACTGACCAGCTGCTGTTGCCAAAACTGTTCCATCTGATAAGATCAAATACAAAGTGCATTTCATTTCTTTGAACTGGGGTGGAAATGATTGGTATGGAGGAGAGCAGATACAAGCAAAACAAAATGGGCATGCATGCCTCATTGCAGCATAAGATTAATACACATACAGACAGATATTGTATACTAAAAGACCCTTAGCTCAAAGGATACATATAATGTTAACAATAGCATACATTTGCGCATATATCATATAAACAGATAGATAAAGTTCGGATTTCACAAAAAAAAGGATTATAAACAAGTAAAAGCGGCATTTTTCAGGACAGTGGGATTTTCTTTAAATGGATCCATGTGTCTGGTAGATAATAGGTGTGTTGCATTTCCATCTCTACTTCGAATAGATCATTACCATTATAGTTTGGAAAGCAAACTGTAGAGATCATTTAGAGATTCTAGGCCATGACATGGCCAACGCCATGAGGGCGCCAACATGATAACATGGATAAAAGATGGTCAATATCTATTCGTTGAATATAAAGGTCATTACGATCATCAACTATTTACTGTTGTAAGGGTAAGTCAGAGCAGTTAAACTATGTCTGAAGGAGAAATCATAAAACAGATGCAAAAACATCCATAGTGCAGATGAAAAAGCAAGACATGGATGATTTAGCAACATAGAGAGTAGTGAAACACTGAAAATAGATATATAAATCAAGAAGAGATACCTGATGAAACTGCCAACGCAGATATTGCCTTGGAGGAAGATTTAAATTTCCCTGCAACAGATCCATCTGAGGCATCAATCTTACAGACCATGCCATCAGCACCTGCTGTGTACACACTCCGCCCATGCCTCGAGTATGCCACTGCTGTCACACCTCTGAACAAATACAAAACACACACCGACATAAGTGAACACATCTGAGCCTAAGCTCTGCAGAGATTAACCCCAACAGGAAATAGCAAACAAAGCCAAGATTACAGGTGCGGGTATGTGCTTAAACAATGCGTCAAAAGGAATTTCGTAATTGGCATGGTATTATGAACATTTCGTACTAAGAAAATGTGGTTTCCACAAATAAACAACGAGGTTCCCCTCCCAGCATGACACAAATGCACTGAACCACCAGCCATACCCAGGATGACAATCGCTGATCCTCCACTTCCAATGGCCCGCAGCAACGTCGAGTGCAAGGACATCTCCACTGCCCGTCCCAAGCACGAGCAGCGAGCTCCCAGCCTTCCTCTTCTTCTGCTAGGCAAAAACACGAGCAATGACGCACACGCACACACAGCACGTCGCCAGATAGCAACAGCTCGAAAAATGGGAGTGATTTCTCACCTTGGTGGAGAGTTGTACCCACTTCATGCAGGTGTAGTCGAGGGCGAGGTGGCCGCGCTTCGTCTCGCGGAGCGCCCCGACCTCCACCGAGGGGATGTCGGCGAACTCCGTCTGCAAGTGCCCGCGCACGGCGTCCCATACCTGCGACAGAGGCAAACCGTCGGGTTAACAGAGGAAGCCGCAACCCGAGCCGCTCCGGCATGGATGGGCGGCGTTCGATTCCGCACCTTGATGCGGCCGTCGCCCGACGAGAGGGCGAGGAAGTCGGACGAGTGGCTGAAGGAGGTGAGGAGGTCGCGAATCGGCGCGGGGGCCGGCGCCATGGCTGCGCTGGGCGGATGGTTGTCGCGGCGGCGGCGGCGGGTGGGGAGGGAGAAGAGGGGTTTATGCGGCGGCGCGGCAGGGAAGGGTTTTGAGGGAGCGAGTGGTCGGAGCCTATCTATCTCGGCGCGACCCCGGTCGGTTTCGCTTTGTGGCGCTTGGGACGCGGCTGAGCCGGACCAGGAGGACGGGCTAGGGTTTTCCTTTTCCACCCTAACAGAAACAGCAAACTGTTTCTCGCTATTTCTTGCCCCGCCGCCATCCCCCTGTCCCTGGCTCGAGTTCCCACGACACCCACGCCGACCTTGACTCCCATTCCTGGACCAGGAGGACGGCTGCTGCTGCTCGGCGCCCACGCCGACCTTGACGCCCAGAAGCTGCTCGGCGACCTCGGCTGTGAACTGAACCACGCCGACGCCCCTGCCTGCTACTGCTGGACCTCGACCGCGTCGCTACGCCTGCCCCGACTCGCCGCCGCGACCTCCGACGGCCAAGTATGATTATTTTCTCCTGTTTTGTTCGTTCCACGTAGACGTTCAGGTTGAAGGCGGGGCGGGATGCAGCTGCCCGCCACACGCCGCTAGAATTAGCGCGGGCAGTGCGGCAGCCCGCATACACCCGCATAAGCCAATTTGACAGGGAAACATCAATATGTACGTACGAATTAACACTATTTAGTGCAGCCGATGATGCTTGTCTACTTTTCAGTTACAGAAAGACACAAACTACTGCAGTGTATATAGAGCCGAGGATCACTAGCCAGTGTGCAGAAAGAAACAAGATTCAGTAAACTCAACGTTTTGCTTGGTTTCTTGCTCATTCAGAAAGACACAAGATTCAGAAAAGTGTACATAAAGACACAGGATTCATTGTACAGTGAGAGAACCCTCTAAATCTGAAACATAACTCCCCTCGAGTAAAATCAACATTCAGTAATCCTGATGCCCATTTAGTAAACTCAACAGGATTACAAACTACTGCTTGGTTGCAGTGACATCTTCAGGTCTTGGGTTCTTGGAGGAGAGGAAAGGGAGCAGCGAGGATGCAGACCATGCAGAAGTGGACGGCGACGAAACGACAACTCTGGTTCGCAAGGGAAGCGACGGAGGAACATCCTCTTCAACGCGTGAGGAGGCGCTGGAGGAACAGCATCTCCATCTTGGAGGACATGTGAGGGAGGCGTGAGGCAGTTCCGATGTGGAGATGGCGGTGGTGTCGCCGTCGACCCCATCAGCAGGAATGGCTAGCAGGTGCGAGGAGCGGCGCAGTGATGCAGGCGTTAGGTCGGGGGCGGAGGATGGGCGCCCCATCGGAAGAGACTAGGTATTTTTTTTGGAGAAGAGGTGGGGGTGAAGCGGTTTTTTTTTTTGAGAAGAGGTGGGGGTGACACGGTTATGCGGCGCGTCCCGTTGAGCCCGCTATTGAGATCGCGGTCAGCCCAGCGACAGTTTTGCGGGCTCTTTTGCGGGACGGCATTGCGGCCTGGCAGGATATCCCATCCACCTTGCAACCTGACGCGTAGTATTCTTCACGGCGGCGTGAAGCGAATTTACAAATGCTTCTCATTTGCTGCTGAATTGTAAGTACAGCATGTGAAAGGGCGAGTGTATATGCCTTTCTTTCGAGTATCTTAGACAGACGCTAGTGGTATTTTGTCATGTAAACTGAACTGACTGCACTTTGGTTTTCATCACTAGTGGTATATTGGAACCTCTGGTTTTGAGTTGTTGTGGTATTTTGACCATTTTCTCAATTCCGCCTCATCCATCTCTTTCCGCCGCAGTTGATCGATGGATCCCAACGCCGACGTGCTACGTGGTCTTCGCATCACCTCCCTTGACGACGAAGACGATGATGAAACAGAACTGCCCAACCAACCTCTGCCCACTACCACCGCGACCCTGGCTGCGGCCGCCTCGGGCTATGACGACGAGGACGAGGACGAAGATGAAGAAGCGGAAGTCATGCTTGGTTTCCTGGAGAAGCCGAAGCATCCAGGCCTCCTCCTCCGCCACCTCTTTCCTAGCAAGGCCGGAGGCATCCCGGTACGTGCAATAACGCCCATCATATTAAGCGACACACTTTGATTTTTGATACGATTGGAACATGTATTAATGTGAGATGTTTATGTATTTTGTCCAGGCGTGGTTGGATCCCGTGAACTTGCCCTCGGGGAACTCCAGCTGTTGTGGCTTCTGCGGCGAGCCCCTGCACTTTGTCCTCCAGGTGCTTACTTTGTGCCTAGAAGCAATTGTACCTGTTGTTTTCTTTCCGGAACTTGTACTAGTTAATTGGATGAAAACTTCATCTTACATTGGGTTTGGATCCTGTAGATTTATGCTCCGATTGAGAACAATGCAGCAGCATTCCACCGCACTCTGTTCATGTTCATGTGCCCATCGATGGCATGCTTGCACCGAGACCAGCACGAACAGTGGACACGCAACCAAGGCAATCCTCGTAGAAGGTGAAGCAAGTCCCGTGGCGGCTGTGTTGGCTTTTAAACTTTCGAGTAGAGACTGAAAACATTTTGCTGATCCTGACTGCCTCGTTGGATTGCAGCGTGAGGGTTTTCCGGTGCCAACTGCCTCGTGCCAACGCGTACTACTCAAGTGAACCTCCAAGTCACAATAACTCTGACAAGCCACTATGTGCCGGAGGTAGTTTTCCTTTTTGTTCAGTTGCATGGCATCTTAGACTTACTGTGCCTAATAAGTTTTGTATGCTATTAGTGCTACATTTCCTGCATTATGTAGTAATTAGCGTTATTCTAGAGGAAAATGTGCTTATGTCCAGCAGATCTCTTTCACTCTATCTAGCTATTGCATAAATACTTTCTTCATTTAGCACTTATGAATTCCTATGTCTTCAATATGCTAAAATCTTGTAGTTATCATCTTCATTTGTTTATGCTGGTTGCTCCATATATCGGCACCTTGCTTCTAATGTCTTCCTTAGGAAACATATAATCTTTTGCTTTCTGTTTTTTTCCTAGAAAAGCATCGCACTGTCAATGTGCTGACTGCTGAGACTAAGTTTGGTGGGGTTTGTTAGATGCTGATTAATTTAGTATATTGACGCGCTTACATTCATAGGCAAGTAGGCAACAATGGCTGTCTTCTGTCCGTCAAACTGGTTATGTTAATAGATGGCCATATTCCAAGTAATTTATATTGATTTCCTTCGTTTACTTGACTGTGAGTTGCCAGCTGCTCTCTGTCATTGGTGTGGTACATGGAAAGGGGATAAAATATGTGGTAGCTGCAAGAAATCACGTTACTGTTCTGAGAAACATCAGGTATTCACAAATCATTTAATCCTAGAGATCTCTTGGGCATCTCATGTTTGTGTTAAATCTACCCCTTTGTCATGTCCAAATATACAGCCTTTGTTTTGATCCTTGCCAATTTTTGGACACACTCATGATCCTTTGTCCACCTCCAATACAATAAAGTATTGACTGGCTTGGACACCAACCAAACAGGCCCTACATCATATCCCTTTGGCAACCAGGTCCTACTTTGGATTAACAATCTTTGTGACTCTTTCTCAGGCACTGCACTGGCGGTCTGGTCATAAAAATGATTGCCTACAGATAATCAATTCTTCTGAAGCTTCAAGTTCTGTGCTACCAGCTGTAGGGAAAGGTAACCATGTTTGAAGGCTAATAATGCTATTAAGGTCGTAATTATTGAATTTGTATTTATCCTCTTACAATTCCTCTCTATTTGCAGTTCCAGCTAGGACTTCTTGGCTGGAATATCAGATAGCCATTGACGATGAAGTTGATTTGGATTCTGATGGTTGTGATGAAAACAGCTCAAAGTCCTTGGTGATGCAAAAGCATGGTAAACCAGATGATACAATGCAGTCATGGATGGATCAATTTGAGGTTTTTAGCCGTGCATTCTCTCTTTTATGCTTGCCAATATAGCAACCACTGTTTATTCACTGCTATGTTATGTAGGCTGATGCTGACAACCGATGCTGGGCATATTTTCAAGAGCGTATCTCAAGAGCACCAGAGCAAGTATTGAGGTATGCATAACTTGCATGAATCCTCTCCTTGTTTGGTGATGTTTTCAATTTACTTTTCCCTGTTCAGGAAAATAGTAGTTCGATATTGTTTCAATCGTTTTGTAATTCAGTTTATTCAGTTGGCTTGCATATTTATTCTCAACAATATATGTTATATGCATATTACTAATAAAAGTCTAAATTACGCAGATACTGTCGAGATCCAAATGTAAAACCTCTGTGGGCTTTATCAGCTGGGCGTCCATCAAATGCTGACATCCCTTCATGTAGCTACTGTAAAGGTCCACTATGCTATGAATTTCAGGTTGGTCAATTTGTCTAGGGCCAAAATATTTGTATTTCTGATATAGCAACACATAATAGGTTTATAGTCAATATTTTGTTGCCACAAAAATAATAGACTGAAAACCTTACATTTTTCATGCCCAATATTTTGTTAATGCCCATCTGCTCTCTAAAATGTCTGCCGGGCAAATGCTCTGTTTATGAGCCATCACTACCGTCAGTTTTTTAAATAATAATAACAATAACATGACATGATTCAGAAGTTATCGATCACTAGCACTAGGGACTGTGTAATCAGTTATGCTACTAGGCCAGGCTGCGGTGTCCGAGTAGGAAACTAAAAGAATGTTGTTAATGAATTACTTCTGTGAACTTATGGTATCATGTTTTTCCTTTCAACCCCCATGAGAGCAATGTCCAAATAATTGTACCTATGGAACTTCATATGTGTGAAGTTTCTGCTTAGTCAGTGATGCCTCCAACATGCTTATCAGTACTCGTTGCATTTCCCTCCATCGTGCCTGCTTATACACATCATGTGCTTACATATCCTTACACTGTGTTTACTGTATCTCCAGATAATGCCACAATTGCTTTATTACTTTGGTGTGAGAAATGAACCAGACTCTCTTGATTGGGCAACAATTGTTGTGTACACATGTCAAGGATCATGTGATCAAAATATTAGCTACAAGGAAGAGTTTGCATGGGCTCAGTTATATCCTACGTCAATCTCAAGGCCGTAGTAATGTTTACCTGTTCCACAGAGTAGCGTCTGCTGCAGCAGGTTTGTAACTCCCCCGATTTAACTTTGTTGTTATTAGTCTACAAAAGCTCATGCATATGGTCAATGCATGTGATCCACTAAAAAGCAACGGCTGACGTTGGCATGCTTCATGTGTTTTATCAGTATACACTATTATCCACTGTCAAATGTGTATTATGATACAAGTAATTTCAGTAAATGCACTAGTTCTGAGAGAATTTTTTAATAGAATGTTCCAAGAGCTGAGAACTTTCCTATGCCCATTGATGCATCTATTGCTTGAACAAGTGCAGTGCCAATAGTTATTGTAAAAGTTAGATAGGTATAAGCCTAATTGATGTTGCGTGTTTGGATTCTGAAGCTATGCTGATTGCTAATCACCATTTTGTTTGCTGTATGCACCTGCATCTGCAATGTCTGGGCATGTTCCTTTGGGAAACAAGTTAGTCAAAAATCAATGTAGTTTGAATCTATTCTCTTGATCTTGTTGTTAGCTTTGTTGTTTTATCTGCCTGGCCTTTTAGCGGGAGCAAGATAGAGATGCAAGGGAGTCCTAGTAACCTATATTTTGCTCTGTAAGCTGTGTTAATCAAAGATGGTCCTAGTAACCCATATTTTGCTCTGTTGTTTCACCAGGGGAGTTGGAACTTGAAAGTGATGGTCTACCTTGCATTTCAACCTGAAGACAGGCGTTCCAAGCCAGATAGATCTTTTTTTTTAGATGTCAACTTCAATGCAGGGCCATGGTCCCAATTAGCTCGCTACATTGGGCTTGGTCTACTATTTAGCCACTGGGGCCATGTATAGCATTTGATGTGAAATAGTTGTGATCACCAGCATTGCCGGTTCAGTGTGCATCTTTATTTCGTTATATATAGGATTCTTCGTCTCTTTATGTGGACACCTTGGACGGTTTGGGGGATTACTCGTTAGGATTCTGGTCTATCTCGTTGGTCTGTTATTTGAGGCTTCTTGCATTTTCGCTTTCGGCATTGACCACACCGCATGTAAAGTAGAGAGTCTCCACATTGCCCCTTTTCTAGGAGTTGAAATTTTGATGGCTACCCTACGTTTTATCTGTTCCATGCATATAGGATATTCCATGAACATCGTGTGTTAGTAGTTGTCCTGGTGTTGAAGCGATTTTTGCAAAGACAAATTTGTGCGTTTGGCATGGTCCCATGTGCCACTTCCTCTCCATGGTTTGGGTTCATGGCTGCACGTTTTTTTGAGCCAGATACGCGCAGACCGGTTGAGGCGTTGCTTGCACGACCCAGTTGCTGGCTGTCCCCATGCCTTTCGTTGCGGAAGAAAAGATGATCAGGAAAAGGGGAAAGCATGGCGCCGAGACCGCTGCCGCGGCGTGCCCGTGTGAGCATGCTGCCGATTCCCGTGTAACATTTGGCGAGCAAGGGGGCACGGCAAGTATCCATCCATCAGCATTATTTTTCTTTCCTTGGCTCCGCTCGCCATCACTCCATGTGCCGCGGCAATGGCATGGCCCTGCCTGGCAAGTGGCCGGCCAGAGCAAACAAAACAAAACAAATCAACTTTTTCTGCCTACATACGTGCGATTTTCTGGGCGGCACTGGGCCGCTTCCGTTGACGGCGACCGCCACCGGCCGCTTACGCTTACAATAATAATGGGATCGATGGATCCCTGCAGTGCTCGCCGGCAATCAAGGGTCCATGCCCACCACACTCTTCTTCTTAACTGGAGGAGGAATCGCCCGCCCCAGAGATCCACCGTAATGAACTCTCTCTCTGTAAGAGCATTACTAGTAGTGCCTTCAAACCCTCAAACCCTTAAAAATAACCGTTTTTTTACAGTTTTCGCCGGAAAAACGCCGTAGACTAGAACCTCTAAACCCTCAAACCCGTAAAAAAATTTAGAGGTCCAACCCTCAAACCAATTTGCAATCTGTAGAAGTAGGGGTTGAGGGGGAAATCTCCCCCCAACCCGCACTCCTCTTCGTCGTTGCCTCCTCGTTCGCGCGGGAGGCAACCGCTCCCTTCCCGCCCGCGTCCCGGCGCCCTCCTCCTCGTCGCCGGCCATGGAAGGCCCCTCCGCCGCCGCGCCCCCGCCCGCCGCGGCCGCCGTTCCCGCCCCGCC